GTCCGACATCACTCACAACTATACTGTTATAAAATAATAGAAAGATGAAGTCATTTACTTTAAATTTTTTACATTTTTTCGACGAGTAAGGTTCTAATCTCTTCAATTTTTCATGACAACTAAAGATGAAGAGTTATTAAGATATAATACTAATTATTACGCAAATAAACTTTAAACATATTTACGTTTAATACATTCGTAGTCAGTTTGGAATGGTAGAGAAAGTATTGAATATCATACAGACGAAGATGCGGGTAACAGCTAGTTATTGAAGTATAAACAAAACAGTATCGTCACAGATAAGGGAAGAACTATAAATAATTATTTATTTGATTGTTTACGTCGAGCACATCGGTAGTGTATAAGTTACGATTTGCACTGGAATATGTTACACACAATCACGCCTCGCTTATCACGTGCAGACATCATTATTCATAAACAGCACATCTTACACCTATCTACACCAGAAACACGTACCGCGTGTTTTAAATGGCACAACTTAAGCACAGAGTTGTAGTTTATATTTAATTAAATTCAATGTATCTCTTCAACTGTTTCTAGCTCGTCAATACTTCGGAGGGAAACCAGAAAGACCGAGGCCATTCGAACCAGCTTCCTACCTACCACCGGCTGGGTACCCTCCAGCGGGCGCACGTCCAACGCCCGCCTATGATGAGGGTCCTTCTGCGAGCCCAGGCTACCAACCAAGTTCCCCATCCCCCAGCCAGCCATCTTATCAACCTAGTCAATCAGACCAAGCACCTTATCAGCCCAGTCAAGCTCCTTACTTGCCAAGCAAACCTTTCCAACCGAGTTTTCAACCTAGTCAGCCAACTCAGTCATCATACCAACCGAGTCAGCCTTCGGAATCGTCTTTTACATCGAGCCAAGCCGGTCAACCCTTTTCACCGTCGTACCAACCATCTTTACCACCATATCAAGGCAGTCCATCGACGGATCCTTCGTTTCAAGTAAATCAACCAACTCAGCCGTCTTATCAACCGGGCCAACCTACATTCCAACCTAGTCAGCCTACTTACCAACCAAGTCAACCAACATACCAACCGAGCCAACCGTCTTATCAACCAAGTCAGCAGCCTTCATATCAGCCATCTGAGCCTAGTTTCCCCACCTCTTCATCATATCAGCCTAGTCAACCGACCTTCCCAGAAGAAACTACTTTGCCCCCATACAACACTCCTCAGCAACCAGAAGAAGCTCAAACAGATTCAACTAAACCTGATATCGACAACAATGAGCAAACAACTGCGCCTTCTGTGCCAGACGACGATGACCGCCATCCGCCTCATATCCACGCCATCACCGTAGACTGCGGCAAAGAGATGATGACCATCAACATTGAATTCAACAAAGTGTACAACGGTATCATATACTCCCAAGATCATTACAACGACCCAGAATGTGTATATGTACAAGAGAATTCGAATCAAATTAAATATTCATTTACAGTCAGCTTGAACACATGTGGAACAAGATTCTTTAGCGATTTCGAAAACGAGGGACAAGCTTACTTAGAAAATGTACTAGTATTACAAAACGAAGTAGGAATCCAAGAGGTATGGGATCAAATTCGAAGAGTCAGATGTTTATGGCAAGGTAATTTGACGAAGCAGTTGGTATCATCTCTGAGTGTGGGAATGTTAAACCAAGTTATAAGCAACTTCAGTGGCGATACTGCTATGGCTCGGTTAGATATTCAAACAGGCAAAGGGCCGTTCGCACCAGAAGCAAATGGACTAATTAAGATCGGAGAGACAATGACGTTAGTTGTTTCTGTAACTGGAGATGCTGGTTTCGATATTCTTGTACGAGAATGCATCGCCCGGGATTCTGGAAGCCGTCATGTCGTACCTCTGACAGACAGTAATGGCTGTGTTCTCAAACCTAAACTCTTCGGGGCCTTCCAGAAGACGAGAGACACGGGAAATACTGGGGCTTCAATAATTGCATACGCATACTTTAATGCATTCAAATTCCCTGACGAAATGGACTTGATAATCCAATGCGAAGTTGAACTGTGTAAAACAGATTGCGAAGCTTGTCCCAATCCTGGCAGCTTAGAGCCAAAGAGAAGACGACGAGACGTGATTCATATTGGGAATAGAACTGTGGAACCTGTCACTACAATAGGTAAAGGATTAAGAGTAGTTTTTGCTGAAGATTTACCTCAAGAAAATCCTGGATTTTGCATTTCTCCTACGGCGGCGATGTGGGGCAGTCTCCTCGTGCTGGGTGGTTCGTTAATGAGCAGTTTAGCAGTGACACTATGTTGGCAAAGATCTCGCGGATCTATGAAATTTTCATAGATTTGATATTTGTTTTTTCAGTATTTCCTTTATCTTGAATACTCCAAATACGTTAAAGAATACGAGACGATGAAACCGATAATGTTATAAATTAAACATAGAAAATAAGAAATAATTAGAATATATTGAAAGTTATGAATAATACAGTTGTAAATGAAAACCTGCAACTGAAACAGTCCTAAAAGATAATTCGTACTTTAGAAGAGGAAATTTAATTCAAATAACATTAACTAATTTATCACTGCCAAGAAGATTACGATGAGGATAAAGTTTATTCTTAAACTAACTTAAGATTCAAGAACATTATGTACAACATCAAGAATGATGATGTTTATTTATATTATGTACTGTACATATTAGATAAGATACAACAATAAATATATACGAAATTATTGTGCTTCTTATTACACCTATGTCTAATTGTAGTCATTGCAAAATTATGACAGTTGTTACCCATCTCAGTATGCTGATGATACAAGTTCCAAAGTGTTCCAGTAGATGGCGCTCTTGGTGAAATAGCTCACGTACTTACCTCCAAGTAAGGCGTGGGCCTTGCAAGAGAATAGTAAATAGGTATACACATCTATGGCCCACATCACAACTTAACATTAAATGGGTTCTTAGGCAAGTGCTGTTTTGTATAAATTAAATCGCAGCTAAAATTCGTTTATTTCGTTGTTATAAAACAAATTATACAAATTAATAAATTCCTAAAGGGTTTGATCCTGTCATGACATCTCGTTTTTCCCGCGCGATGCTCTTCTGTTTTACCTTTTTGGCAGCTATCTTATTTTATCACTAAAAGGCAAATGTTCTGACCAGTATGCCAACTCTTTGGCAGAACATTAATTCTGCACTCAACACAAAACAATACTTGTCTTATATGTAAAAGAAAATTCTACGATTTGGATCTGATGATTATATATATTTAAACTTAGAGATATATATATATATATATATATATATATATATATATATATTAACTATTTTACTGAAGTTGTATCTAGTTATGATGTTTTTTGCAATATGATGAAATAGAAGCAGTTTTAGCTATGTACTTAAACGAACAGACTCTTAGTAGAGTACAGAAGAATAGTAGAAGATGGATAAATCTATAAAAACAGAAAAACACAGAAAAATAAGCAATAAACGTGTTTTATTAATTTGCAGATGTGTCAATTACCCGGTAGACGATATTTTTATCACAAACATACATGCAAAAAAAACAATCTGGGCGCGATAATCTTTAAACTACTTGAAGACTTAGAAGAATCTCTATGTAAATTTGCTGCCACGTTGGCACAATGCTAAAGTAACGATAACAAATTATATACAGAAAAAATATAAAAAAGAGATTGTCAAAAAGAATTTCGTTGTTAATTTTGTCAAAATTAAAATAAATATAATGCAATATATGTGAACATATTATTGCGCTCACCTGAATAAAAATGCAAACATATAGTACTGGATTAACCGTTGGTTTCTGAGACCAAAATATCTGTATAAAACATATCGTCAACCCTGTCATTATCTTAAAGAAAAGATATAGAAATATGTTTCAAAACGGGGATTTTAATTTTAGAAACTGAGTAATAGCCATACATTTATTTGGTGAAGAAATACAAAACATATATGACTCAATTTAGCAATGTATTTTACTGTTTAGATTTGTATAGGATTTAACCAAAAGTAAATAACAAAATATTGAGACTAAACCTCTAATGCCAGCTGAAGGTAGAAACAACTTAACTATAAACAATTCAAATAGACATATAATGCCATTATCAAAAGGCGATTTAAATAGTAAGCTCTTGATACCAACTTTCATATCAAAGCTTTAACCATGTGATACTTAACATACCGATTAGATTCAAGTGTCAAAGGATTAAAAATCGTTTCCAGTGCATCAAATATAAACTTTACTGTCATAAACCAAAGTAACATAACATCCAAATAATTTAAAAAAAAATTCATCGCTTTATTTAAGGTGAAAGAACGTTATACCTATTTAACTGATGTGACTTGCCATAAAATTAATTAATTTATTTTAAATATAATAGACTTTGTGTTGCTATCTGTACAGAGGGACAGTAAAGAGCTATAATTGTTATTATCATTTGGTTACTGTTTGTAAAGATTTATTGTTAATAATAATTTCTTGTGACGTCTACATTTGTAAAGTATGTGTACTATAAGACGCCTAAAATAAATATATCTTCTAAATATACACTTAAAACAAACTTAGCAAAATACACGGCATTTAATGTTTAAAGTTTCATCTGTATTGTAAGTTTGTTGACATGATTTTATGAAAGCATTTTGAGGTTAAGTCCAATAACATATATTTTTAAAATTTGACTCTCTCTAAAATGAACATCTTAATTTTAAGATTAAACATACTGTAACTATAAAATAGCAATTGCCCGCGACTTTATCCGCGAGGAATTAAATAAAATATACTTCACGACACTCGCCTATAGTGCAGCTTCGTAACGATAAAAGAATTTTTCAAAACGGTTCCATAGTTTACGAGTCTATTCTATTCAAGCAATTATATCGTTCCTCTTTATAGTATAAACTAAGACAAGTTTATCATAGTAAACAAGTATGAAATTACCTTTATTTAATACATAATCCTGCGTTGTAAAGCGAAGATATTTATATGACAATGTAGTTAAACTGCCATGTGTACACAGTGTACAAATCATTTAGTGAACGAATGAGTTTCTGTGTACACGTGGAGAGGAGGGAGAAAATAAGAAAATGAACGGAGATAGAGTGAGACCGTCCGCTTTTTTGGTGCAGGGATTGTCAACATTTGCAAGTTGGTTTATTTTATTTTTGGATATTGCTAATTATAGTTTACGCTAAATACATAAGTATTATAGATTAATGTTATAGAAAGGAATTAAAAAATCAAATGTAATCTTAAATAGCCGAATAAGCACGAAAGAAAGAAAAGCAGAAAGAAGTATTTCGTCACAATCGCTTAGTGTTGAAAAAGCGCGTAAACTTTCAAAGATTAAAAAAATTAAACTATTTACACAGGCGCATTTTTAAGATCTTGTATAGTTTCATATATAATATTATAAAATTTTATCGGACTTCCGAATTTAATATACAGATTATAGCAAATGCCGTAACACCTTTTTGTATAAGTTTTCTCCTATACATGTAAATTGAAACAGTTACAGTGTTATAAACAAAAATACTATGCTCATTCCTTTAAATAGCCTGATAGTAGGTATTATTAGGAAATTTATTATAGAATTCTGATTTCAGTGAAATATGACTTTAGGTTACATTCTGCATAGAATTAATTTTATTCAAAACGCCATCTTTGGATGAGGAGTTGTTACCAAAAAAATGTTACATGTAATTCAAAATATTAATTTATTATTATTAATAAAAGAAGAAATAACTGTTTATAAATAACGTTTTAGTCACATGATGCACACATATCATACTGTTTCATTGTTTTGTATTTGACTCTTGCACTTATCCTCACGAGTCATTGATAATTTGCAGAACTAAGCTTTGTAGTAACGAACATAAAAGACTATTGTTGTTCATGTGCAAATATAATTGACCGATATTCGTAGAGCATTATCTTAATACTAGACTTTATTTATTCTTAAATAATAACTTGAATTTAGCAAAACGGAGACTATTTAAAAAAAGGTATTTTTTATGAGAGCCTGTAAATATATAATAGCAATTATTAGATTAGAAGAAATTATTATTAAGTTTTCGACTTTATTTATTAAACTACATTAGTGCAAAAAGAGTAAACTACAGAAGGAGTTATTATGATTTCTTCTCAATTAATATTACACAACTTTGTTCCTTACAGTTGCGTACCTCACAAGTCTAACGGGGCTCATCTATGGCTGGCCATCTTACACTTTGGAGATGTTCCAATCAAACGGCACCGTACTGTCCGCACCCATGTCTAGTATGGAGGTGTCCCTACTGGGCAGTCTGACCAATGTGGGAGGACTCCTGGCCACTCCATTCTGTGGGTATGCTGTCAACAAGTTTGGCAGGAAGTACGCTGCGATTATGTATGGATTACCCTTTGTGGTGGGTGTGAGATGTTGTATAGTTGTATTCAAAGACAATTGTTTTTTGTAAAGAAAGTAATAACTTTGAGAAGACTATACGCTAACTTGTCATTTGTTCGTTTCCTTTTGAGATTTGAAAGTTTTTGTTTCATTTATAATTTGCAGATCTCATGGGGTATAATATCAGTAGCGCGATGGCCACCTCTCATCATACTTGCAGTAGCACTTGGAGGATTAGGTGCTGCTGGGCAAGCGGTATCCTCGGTCTACATATCAGAGATAGCGCAAGACTCTATCCGGGGAGCTCTGACCTCCACCACGGTGTCTGGGTACTTCGTAGGTCTTCTCTTCTCGTACGCTATAGGAGGTCAACTCAGTTACCATCATGTGGCTTACGTTCATCTCGCTATGTCAGTCATGTATATGGTCATATTAACATTTTTGAAAGAATCACCAGTTTATTTGATCCAGATTGGGAAAGATAAGGTTTGTATGTTACCTTCTAAGTTATTATTCAAACTGCAGTTAATTATTCAAATTGTCACGCGATTTACGCAGATATGCAAAGTTTTAACTACATCCACCCGAACTTACATACATTGCAAGTGAAATAAATTATTATAAAATATAAATAAGACCGATGTAATTTATGGTGACGGTAAAAAAGGGTGTAAGTAACAAGACGTGTTGCACTATTCCTATACAAATTAATTACTTTGCAAAATTGTTGAAAAATTAATTGCCCTAGGTCAGTCAATATGTTATATATTTGTGCAGGAAGCCGCGGAGTCTCTGGCATTCTACAGACGTGTGCCCGCCACATCCAAAGAAGTGGAAGTCGAGATAACTAAGATTAAACTGCAAATGGATCCGAGAATAGACAAGATACTGCAAGGTGAAAATGGTTAGTTGTTTTACAAAGAAAAATATTCTACGTAATGAATTTAATGTAGGACTAATATATTTTGACCTATGTAGCTCAAAGCACAATGTGAGAACATATCTATTCAAAAGGGACAATAGTAGGGAATATTTTCTGCTTCTCTGACATGGAAGGGAAAAGCAATGGATGAAAAGAAAAGAGATTTCAGCAGCCTTAGACATGAACGTCGTTGAAATGTGTTCCTTGTCAATATACTGTCGGTCATTGACCTCATTATATTCGCATTTACAATATTAGTATGATAGCAGATAAAACAGGGTTATTACCCAAGCGTGTTGATTACAATGCCATTGTCTATGTTAATCCATGTAAAATGCTTTTAAATATTTATTCATGTTTACGTGCTATCTTTAAAACAAGTTTCAATACTCTAAGATAATACTTTAGGGTATATCAAATAAATAAAAAATATATTTTCTGTTAAATCACCATTGTTATATAATTTAGCAAGCTTTAGTGTGCGATTTTATCCGCGCATTTAAGTCCAAAAAATAGCTTAATATGTTTTCTTCCAGACTATGTTCTACATCTGTATCATATTTATTTGAGATCCGTTTAGTCATTTTGGAAATACATACGTCCAGGAAATCTTTCGCATTTATAATATTAGAGTGATAAATAAACAAATTTACTAAGAAATAAAAGTTTAAAAACTTATCTGATGGGGAAAGTCGATTTATATTTAACCGATCTATTTTTCAGATCCTAATACAACAAAAGAACTAATAGAAAAACAATATGATCAAACACCCAGAAGTGAATCTCAGTGGAAATTTTTGAGTGAGTATAATTTTTAAATTTTAGAAACAACATTTTTATGAACTGATCCTTGTCCCCTCATTGTTACTAGCTAGTATCCCTTATTTCATCATAAATTTTCTTTTCTATTCTCTTTATATTATAAGATGGCAAAGCGACCGTTGTGTATGTGACACATTCGCAATTGCAAATCCGTTGCATACCTTTAATCGACTGAAGAGGAGATGCCCAGAAAGATTTCGCCTTCCTATGCGTCGCCTCGTCCTTTCTTTATTAATAGAGTTTGATTGACTAAAATTTCTTTCTTTTTCAGTGAAATCAGAATCATCTCAGAGAGCCATGGTGGCTGTACTATTAGTAATGTCAGTGACAATACTAATGGGCTCCATTGTACTGCAAGTGTACGCGGAGCCGCTGTTCAAGGAAGCGGTGCCGACGATGCAACCTAATCTGTGTTCTGTTCTCTTGGCTGTAACTTACCTTCTGGCGAGCTTTCTTTGCGCTTTCATGATAGACAAGTTTGGACGAAGGGTAAGTTTTAACATCATTTGTGTATTCGTTGAATTGTTGAATATCTGTTGAATTGTTGACTCTTTCAGGAGATATTGCCACAAAAAATCTCCAATTTTTAGTTCTAAAGTAGTAATAAGTATTTGCAAGACAAGTTAGTAATTGAATCCTTGGAAAGAAAGGTTATTTATCAATCACGATAATTACACGCCTTTCTATAGAGGAGTATATCTCACTAGAAGTGTAAGAAGTCCCAGGAAAAGATGACTCAATGAATATACTGTTCTTCTTCTAGCCGTTACTGACAGTGACATCTGTGGGGTCAGCGTTGTGCAACTTTGTGTTGGGCAGCCAGCTGCATTTGCGCTGGGGCCCGCACTGGCTCACCGCTGCCACTATCTACGCTTACAGCTTCATCTACAACTTTGGCGCTGCCGTTGTGCCCTTCGTGTTGACTGCTGAGGTCTTCCTGCCAGAGGTGAATTAAGCGTTCCATATTTGAATCTTTGGAAAGTTCTAAACTTGAATTGGAATTGGCGGCTTCGCAGACAAACATAGAAACAGACAGACAAAAAAATGGTTTTTCGTTATCAGCTACGAACCTGACGCCCCGAAACATTCCTTTTTTGACATTACATACAGACCCCCCAATTTTATTAATATGTATAGATTAGTTCTTGTTGTGTTATTCTACTGATATTGTTTAATTTTCAGGTGCGTGGTCTCGGCAACAGCATGTCAATGGCGTGCATGTGGATAATGAACTTCGTAACTCTGATCATCTTCAATCCGCTGGTAGACTGGCTCGGTCTGGGGCCGGTCTTCTACGTGTTCTCTGGCACTTGCCTCCTCGGAGCAACTTACAGTCACTTCTGGTTACCGGAAACCAAAGGGCTACCGGCTGATGCTATACAAAAATTGTTCCTTAAAAAAGAGGGAAGAGACAAGAAAGTTGTTAAATAAAATGTTTAGATTATATGGAGTTATTTTTAATTAATCACATATATATTTAATAATTAACTTTACATTTGAATATTTAAAAGAAACAGGTTTGCAAGAACTGATATACACTAAATTGTTTTATCAATAATTTGACCTTAACGGCTGACAATGAAAATAATTTCAATATACCTAATTAATATGAATCTGAACATTTACATTATAAATTAGTTTATTTTATGCTACTGAACAATAGATGGCGCTAACAAAACCTACTTAGGTAGATTGGTTAACAGATGGCGCTCTGTGCAAATTTACGAAAAATAAGTTGTTGAGTTGAATTTGTTTCGAATTTGAAGACATAAATAGACGTACCTTTTTACCCTAAGCTTTAAATATCATAAAGGAAAATTAGGAGAACTTCTCTTACTATTTGAAATAGTCTTATAAGTAAATATCATGAAATAACATAACTTGTACTACTGCCGCATAAAATATTTATCTCTTATTTTTGTATATGAAATAAAGTTATTTGTACAGTCTGAGGAATTAGAAGTTACAGAATAAAGGGTTTATGTATACAAGACAAGATTAATCGAAGGAAGTAAACAATGCTATATGTTATTTAAGACATACCAAACGTATGACAAAGTCCAAAGTATGTAAACACACGCCACGCGCTGCTACTAAGCATATTTTTGTTGATTTGAGGCAAACGAAATACGATTCACTTAAATATTTGATAATGTTTTATCATCGAATATTTTACGCTTGTCGCGTCGCTCTTCGATACCATATTGATGAATAATTTAAGAGTTTCGTATAAAAGGTTGTATTTATAACATGATAGAACTCGAAGACGGATGAAGAGTAAAAGTGGCTGTAAATAAAATAAATATAAAATGTGTTAAGATTTAATTATTATTATGTAAAAGTGCGCGATGAAATCGTGTTTATTTAATGAATGTTAATTTTAATTTAATTTTTTTATTCCACGTGAAAACTTGACGTTATATATTGTGTAGGTAATTTTAATATTGAAAATAAAATACAATTTAATTTGAAGTTCGTTTAAAGACCTGTAAGTATTATGTTTGACTTTTTCTCAAGTTTCTTTGGCTTAATATGCATTTTCAAGTAAATTTTCTTTTATATAATAATTAAACTTGAGAATAAGACGTAATTATAATCTTAGTAATATAGTAAATGCGAAAGTTTAGATGGATAGATGTTTGTTAGAAGATATCTCCCGAACGGCTCAACATATCTTAATGTTAATTAATGAAAACATATTAGAATTTTGTATTTTAAGTTAGGTTAATTCATGAAAAGATTTTTTTGCTGCGTAGTGTATGTATACATAACAGTATTTAGTTATGATTCATGTTTATGTATTTCAATATGCAAATTAATATATTACGATTATAAATGTTGCGTTCTCTTAATGTTTGGCACAAATGTATAACATAGTCGTGAAGAACACATGGGTTACTTACCTTAAACACGCGGATGTAGTCGGGGAGGACTACTTTTGTCTATATTTAGACAAAGATTTTATCTTTAAATGAGAGAAGTACTGTTTAGTTTGTAATAGATGACACTGGTACATATTCTTAGGAAAAATTTATATCATGAAATTACACAAGGTCTACAGTTATAAGGTTACTGTAATTATTGGACCTCTAGGCCATGCGAGTTTAATTTTTAAACAGGGTTGTCCGGTTTTTCTATATAATACAAGCTAATCAATGAAATAATTCAAATAACAGGTTACTTAATGGAATATTTATAGTTGAGTCACAACGAATTTTTTAACTATATAAATTAAATACACATTAAATGATCATTTAAAACATAAATAAAAAAACACTTTCGTCTAAAAGCAAAGGGCTGGGCATTTTAATATTACGTAAGAATTTTATTACGCTTACTTAATTCAGTTTTCAACTAATATTTAAAATACATCGATTTAATTAAGATTTTTTATGATCTCGTTGAAATTTGATATAAATGTAAAACATAACCTGAAAGAACACATAGGGTATTAAGTTAGGTAAATACAAGGAACACGCAGGATAAGATAATTCGGCGCGAGCGGAGTCGCGGGCTAAAACTAGTTTATCATAATTTATTTATATGTTCATTGAAATTATTAGTTTATTAATTAACTGTTTCTTTATAAAATAAGATTATGTACATTTTAAATACTATGTTATATTTCCAGGGTAAACGCTACATTTATTGACTTGATAAGACAATAAAATCCTCTAGCAAATAGTAATGGCCCTTACTCATTTAAGGTCTGTAGAAAGGAGGATCCGTTTTTGTGTTGATAAAACAGTACTTGGTAAATAAAAACTTCTGGACATAAAGTTAAACTAAACATTAAGATTAGATTTCAAACTGATAACCGAAGAACGATAAAAGTGAAATGAAGTCTTTGGCCATGGTTGTTGATACATACTAGGAGTCTATAATCGAATCGGTTAAATTTGGTCTCCTAGATAAAGGAATCATTAAAGTAAATATATATCTTAGTATAAATACAAAACGTTTACATGGATGGATGGTTCTCGTTGAAATTTGGTATAGATGTAGAACATATTCTGGAAGAACACAGAGGCTACTAATTAAGTTTTTTTCTTAATTCCGCGCGGACAGAGTCGCGTGCAACATCTAATAACGTTATTTTTACTTTATAAATTACGGTGCACGTATTCGATAGATTATAGTAATCCTAAATATCTATCTTTGATTTGAAATAGAATTCAAGTAAGGACTATTTAATTAAAATAGGTCAATCACCCTAAAGCTAACAATAACTGAAGTTGATTGCTACTCAAATTAATAGATAGTTTAGGCTTAAAGTGAGAAGATAAAAAAAGTTACAAAGTTCGTGATTGATTATAGCGTTTACAGATAACATGCCTAATCGATTTTAGTACTTTCAGGCTACTCGTTTTGTTAAAGAGTGTGAGTAGATTACGACTAAGACTGAAAAGTCAAACGCCCAACAAGGTAATGACGTAAAGGCAAACTGAAAGGCAGTGTATCTTTGTGATATATTGTTATGTAAACTTTCTTTGCTAATTATACAATTTGCGTTTGCATTCAGATTGTGTGATTAAAAGTATTATAAAAAACAAATATTCATAAGATTTCTTGGAAAATTTTCTTTGTACTTATAATTTTGTCAATAAATTGTGTCGTAAAATGTCTATGATTTTTATGAGAGTTTATTTTATTAAAGTATCTCGATAGAACACGAGTTTTTATTAATTTTAAGAAGTACAACAGATGACTGATGATGACAGAGAAGGAAAATATCTGCTCCAACTATCGATGTTGTTATCAAGTAACTCCTAAAAGGCTGACGGTCACGCTGGAATTTGGCACATAGACAGATTATTATTTAAATATGCTACTAAGCTTTTTTTAATTCCACGTAGCAAAGTACACAGCTCTCACCGAGTGAACGAAAAATGTACGAAAGAATGAATGATAAGAACTCAATAGGGTATCATGAACTGGTCATAAGTTGAATGTGGATAGACTATTAACGAAATCAAATTAGATTTTGTATTGCGTAAGATTGAATAACGTTAATTATTGTGAAATAAAACATACACATTTTAAAGGTATCATTAATATAAAAACAATCATTGTCCGTCTGCGAGTTGATAATGAACTCCCTTTTTGGACCACATTTATCTGTCACTCGTTCTAGAGCATGGTCCTATACTATCCCTGCTACTGTTTTCTCGTTGGCCCATTGAGTACATAGTCTGCGTCCTGTGTACCCGTGCAGATTTTGAGTTCTTATTGCTTTAAATAATTTTGCAGGTAATATAATTTGTACATCACACCCCTCTTAAAGGTCTGTTTGCATGATGTTTTTGTATACAAGTCTTGGCATAAATGAGTAGTTCTCGAAATTCTTTCTGGTCCTCTTGATTGTATTTTGTTTTTGTTTCTATGGTATTTTACATCTTAGTATTTTCATTTATTTTGTGTTTGTATCTTCGTTGATCTATTCTCATGTTAGTTTTTACTTGAATTCATTATCTGTTTTCTCGCGTCTTTTGTTTCTTCTCTTATTTATTATTCAACTCTTTTTCTTAATAGGTCTTGCGTTTTTTACTCTGACTAATCACAATTAATTATTTTAATGAATAAAATAATTAAGTAATCAATTAAGTTTTGATGACAAGTAATCAAATATTTTGTCTAATTATGTTTCATCAATAAATCTCACTGACTTTATACCACTCTCGTAAGATCAGTGCACCAGGTTGTTTAGTTGCTAAGTAATTGAAATAGTTAACTAGACAATAGAGATTACTTATTTGATTAATTTTTAATTATGTTATCCATAGATAGCGATCTATCGAAGGATAAAATTACAACTGAAATCTACAATCTATCCGTCATTGTGATTAAGTTATAAACTATCAAATTGTAATGCTACCACATGTATGTTATTCATGATAAGATTACAATGATAATGTTTTTAAGCATTTTCATTTTTATCTCGACTATATTTTGTTACTATACGATTTTAATTTCTATTTCTGTTGTTCGAGAATATTTTATCGGTACATAAAAGTTTTTTTTTTAAATAATCATTATTTTATCAAACGATATCATTTGTAGATAAAGTTGTCAGAGAATTTGTTATCTTATAACTAAAATATTTGATTTGGGAATGTTTAATTTCAGTGTATCTGCGCGAGAGCAGTTCTGTGACGGAGTCGAGTTTATTGTTGAGTTGAGTTTTGAGCAGCGCTAGTGTTGAGTGGTGAACGAAGATAATGGGGAAGATTCATCAAGTACACACGGCTATATCATGTGAGTCCATTTGCTTAAATGTTAAAAAAAATATTAAACTAACTCAGTAGCTTCCAGACTTTTTGGTAATTTTCCTATTAAAATAGTATGACGGTTCTTTTTTAATGCCATAATTTTTTATTACTTTTGAATTTCAATTTGAAAAATTTATAATATGGACCGTTGGATATTGTGTTAATTTGGTTAATTTTTAAATGTGAAAGTTTTAAGAAAGAAAAGTTTTAAGAGCATTCGAAACCGAGGTGCATGTATGTAGATGTGTGTAGATGTATAAATTTAGAAGCGGGAGAAGTTTGTCAGGACCGCGTCAAATTGTTGTCTATGGACTTTACCTACCCTTACGGGGGTGAATATTGTTGTTTGTTTATTAGTATTTTAATATTAGTAAAAAACTATGGATAAATGAATAAATTTTAAGTTAAATAAATCAAAATGTTGTATGAATTAGCAACGAAGACTGCAATAATTAATATTAATTTTAATTAACTTATGTGACGTAAAAAGAAATTACATTAAGCCGTATACCAGACACTGTTCTTTTAACTATAAAAAAAAATATTAAATAAAAAATGTATGCAACTCAATTAACTGCTTTGTTTTAAAGGAAAAAAAATGTGCAAGTTAATTTCATACCACCTTGTAATTAATTTACTTTTTTATTTTATAAAAACTCTTTTTTTCCTAATTATAAATATTAAACATGTTCCTTATTGTGTACCTTTCAATGCAAAAAAATAATTCATCTTGGTAATATAATTTTATGGTTCGACAACTTATAAACGTTTTGAAATTTTATATTCTAATGGGTTGAAAGATAAAGAAGAACAAAGTGGCTAGATTCAAAATAAGAATCTCTTAAACTTAATCGAGCTTAAGATAAACTACTAAATTTTTAGGTATAATCATTAATTTAAAAACCAATGTCCAAGCAACATATTTTGGGTAGTATGGGAAGTGAAAACTGCTGGATGATTATAAAAAAAAATAGATGCCAAAGTTCTAAAATAGGCAATAAGGGAAGACAAAAGAGCGCAAAGAGAACAGATTAAAAAGTTATGAACATGAACTCTGAATGATAATGTACATAGTACACGACTACAATATTTACACAACCCCTTTAACACGACTCGTATAAATACCACCTAGTGGCTAGTGGAAAGAGGGTTTTATGATGAAGTAATAAGGTGCAGAGCTTCACTTATCATCTTAGTGTAATATTAATTGAATCTTATCATATTTTAATGATTCCATTTCGAGAAGACATACGACCTTGAATGTGTAAGACAAACAATTAACTCGTACTCAATGAACTACATATATCTTTGATTATGTTATCTATATTGATGAAGATAATCAGAAAACGTGACAAGAAACAGTTTATCGAATCATATACAAATCCTTTAATCTCTTAATTAATCTTATTATAGTGATAAAAATAAGATTTGAAAACATTAGTTGTTACATGAATAGAGCGATTCGATTGGTTAGTTTCTTTTTTATTCTTCTAGGTGGCGTTGGTATTGTGTTTGAAAAAACACGAAGTAGACGGACTATAACACCGCCCTCTTCTCTTAATTTAACACAAATAAAAATTTGCAATTGGTCTATAAATAAAAACATAGCTTGAGAATAATAAGAAGTAGCAATCGTTTACTGTATTAGCAAAAGCGAATTAAAAACTAACGAGAATACAGATAAACTAACATGTATTTGGTTGTTTTCCGTTTCACAAATAAGTTGACGAAAGACCGAAATCTTATATATATAATAATTTCGTGTCTAAATATATGTTCGCGATAAACTCCGAAACTACTAAACAAATTAATATCAAATTTTGTAAGCATCTGTTATTTGATCGAATACCGCGCGGGCGTTGTCGCGGGCGACAGTTAGTTTCACTGTATAACAAGATGGAAGGTTCTGTTTCTTTTTCCTTATAAAAACCTTGCGCAATTTCAAAACAAAATATGAACCTTGACAACACGCGTCCCAAAACATCATCGGATCAAAGATATGCCAATACTCGTATATAGGGCGTTATCAAACATATGATTTATGTTATCAAACATATTGACTGATTGATATTTGTTCATTTGATAGAATAAAGTATTGTTTTTGATAGTGCATTAGTCGCGTGAATGGTCTCTGATAAGTTGGTCACCAGACCTGGGATTTACGCAAGTGTTTGTGTGATAAAAATGTGATTATATTATGTTTGTTAGTCATTGTTTTTGCATTAATTCTACTACTCGTATTTAACACAAAGTTTGGTTGTTGTTGTATCTGATTTGACTTGATTATGTGACTAATGAAGCCTTTCCTTTAATTAAATGAAGATGCTTAATTTTTTCTATTAATGCGGCGATATATAGCCATGCTTATGTTATTTTTCTATACTTTACAATCTGTGAGCCTAGCACAAATAATTGCGACAAGCGCCTTCGTATGGCCATCCGCAATTATGTCAAAGTTAATATGAGATTTTAGAAGTTCTTTACGCCTGATAGGGGCGCTGCACTATTACGAAATACATGTAAATTTGTGGTTATTACAATAAATACGACATACTAGTCATGCAGTATGTGCATTGACTATAAATGGCTTGGCTATAAGATGTAATAATTTGTGCCTATTTGATTATCGCCATTTTGGCGCTGATGGTAGCGGTATGTAGCGGTGGTGTGAATTCGAACTAATAATCACCGAGTATCTGATATTCAGAATTTACGAGCATTTTCATATTATTTGCCATAAATTGCAGCAAATATCAAAGTACACATCACAAGACCTGTTTCTTATCAAACATATCATAAATCATCAGTTATGTAGTCAAATAGAAATGTATTTATTAGTCTGTTTAAACAATGGAATAACATGACGTAATTCAAAGTTAATATTTTCTTAACTTTCTTTATATAGTTAATGATAACGAACAAGGTGTAAAAAATAATGTCTTTGCGAAATAAATAGTCGAAATGCAAAAAACGTCGTTAAAATATTTTAAATTTTTTATATATGCTTTAAAGTTGAAATTAATTTTGAAAAAAAGAACAACATTTTGGGAAAATTAATGCATGCCATTTTTTAGTAGAAAAAGATTTTGCGTTCTGCCACAAAGGTGGCATAATGACCAAAGACCTTTGCCTTTTCAGTCAAGGAAAAATATAAGAGAAAAGCGCAGGAAATCGAAGTGACAAGAACTTAAAAATATACTTTATGCATTTAAAAGACCTAGCAGAAATATAAATATAAATTATTTACAATTTTCTTTTTCACAGGTTCATTATCTTCGGTTCTGACAGGTTCGTTGTATGTATGGCCTTCATACACAATGGGCCTGTATACAGCGAACGACACAAAATTACTGGCGACTCCTATGGCTGACACGGAGAGTTCTCTGTTGGGAAGTCTACCATCTCTGGGAGCTATGCTGGGAACTGCGTTAGTGGGGATCGTCATAAGTAACTTGGGAAGACAGAAGGGTGGCATGCTATTGGCTTTGCCGTTTGTGGTAATTATATTTTTAGATGATTTTATCGGTTATTACAATTTCAAATTATGGTACTTTTTATTATAACCACGTTGACGTCCATATCAATCACCTTTGGCCAAAAGGTCACAGCGCCATCTATTATCAAGTAGCTAAAACTTTTAAAATAATATAATTTATTTTTTCTGCAGCTATCGTGGCTGATCATCGACATGTCTTCATCATCACTGATGATCCTAATCGCGAGGTTTGTCGGAGGTATCGGTTGCGGGGCGGTGCTGGTCTACGCACCCATGTTTATATCTGAAGTGGCGGAGGAGTCCATCAGGGGGACACTCGCATCAGGTACTTACTTGGTTAAATATACTCAAATTTTACTAATATTATAAATGAAAATCTTTGTTTGGATGGATGTTTTATAGAAAGTATCTACAGAACGGCTGCATGGATCTCGCTGAAATTTGTTACAGGTGTAGAAAGACTGAAAGAACTCATTCATAAATAAAAAATAAAATCTTAATATTTTTTTAAGATATTTAGAAATGTATGACTGTATTCATGTGTGAGCTTGTGTGTATGTGTGAGAAAGATAAATATTTGAAAGATGTCTAGCTTTTAGAATATTTAGACGTATTTCTTATGTATTAAATACTTGTAGTGCCGATGGCCTGCTACTGCATGGGTCTTCAATTGTCGTACATCCTGGGCTGGTGCCTCTCGTACCGGTACATCCTGTGGGTCAACCTGGCGCTCAGCATACTGAACCTGGCCATGCTCATGACTGTCACCGAGAGCCCAGTCTTCTTGATGCGACAGAATAGAGAAGAGGTAAGAATCATGTCTTGTTAACTTAATAGAAATAGGCTTTATACTTTTGTTGACTAGATTTTTTTTAGTTCTTCGAAGTAATTCAAAGATATGTGTGAAGTCAACCCGCACTGGTCCAGCGTGGTTGACTATGACCCAGTCACCCTTAACTTGGGGTAGGCTGAGTCTTCAGTGAGGATGTATAGTGAGTTGATGATGATGGTTGAAGAAATATTAAGTTATAATATTATTATAGGATGCCAAAATGGCAATAGCTCACTACAGAGGCGAGTCTCCAGGATCTAAAGTGGTGCTGGAGGAGATGTCCCGCCTCAAGCAGCTGCTGACTCCTGCAGTAGAAATGCTACCGTTAAATACTGGTTAGTTACTTTGCTATTTTTATTTTATACGTCAGTTTCATTGTTAATTAAATTTAAACTGAAATTCGCAAGAAAACAAATAAAGCATGGAGTTAAATTATAGGCATAAATTTAAACCTAGAATCTAAAACATGGAATCCAAATCAATGTTATAAAAGTTAAAATGTTCAGAGATAAATATATTTTGATATAAAATCATGTTTTAAATACATTAATTCCATTTCAGAGGAGAACACGAAGGCAGAAGAAGCGGAGAAAGAAAAGCTGAACGTGGAGGAGGACACACAGGACATGCAGACCAAACCCTCTGCTATAAAGATGTTGTGTAAGTTATAGCTTATCAAATATTACATCGACGAAATAAAAAAAATCTCAATATTGTCCATAAAAATCTATTTTAAATTCAATTTATGTGAAAATATTGACTCTTTCAGATCGGTCTCCTTCATCTCGTCGTGGTTTTATTGTTGTCGGCTTGTTGCTCTCTGTACAAGTACGTTTTGTTTTTCTTCTACTTTAATAATTATAACAAACTATATTTTGATTGTTCATATAAAGTTTTCAACGATAACATTTTTGCTATAGTTTACACAATTCTTGACTGTGTTTATGAAATTACCAGTTGTTGACTGCGACTCCAGTCGCGCGGATCTGTTCTACATGTATGCCAAGTTCTGCGAGATTCCTGCAGATATTCTGATACCTTCTAACAAACATCAATTCTTTGTTGTGTTAAACTTGAGTGTGAATTGTTGCAGGTGATGATGGGTCTGGTGGCGGTGCAGGTGTACGCGAAGCAGATCTTCAGTGAGGCCGCGCCCTCCCTCTCCTCTCATCTCTGCTCCGTCATCTTCGCGCTCGTCATCCTGCTCGGCAGCCTCTTCAGCCTCGTCGCTACTGACAAGTTCGGCAGAAAGGTCAGCTCTTACAACACATCCATATTTTGATGCATTACATAATTTACTTCTTAATTTTAGTACGTTTTGTGCGTAATCTATTTACCAATACTTCCTCTCTATATTTTGTGTCTTCTAAAGTTAGCAGATTATTGTATATTGACTAATACTTGTTGACTTCGAAGAAAGATTTAAATTTGTATTAGGATATGATTCATGACAATAGTCAAATGGCGACAATGAAACCTACGATAAAATGACATCGGATGTCGCTGCCTTAATCACTAGGATACTAGCTTTTGCCCGTAACTTTGTCCACGCAGAATTAAATTATAACAATAATAAAAAATAACCTATATCTTCTTCCAGACTATATTCTACATTTATAATAAATGTCATCGAAATCTGTTAAGCTGTTTTTTAGATACCTAGTAATAAGCATCCATCCATATAAACTTTTGAAGTGTTCATATTAGTAAGATTGTCAGTTCCAAAAATGTTTTCCAATTTAAGAAATGTCTGACAATATTAAGAAGACATTGTTACCTGTCGTCAGATTCTGATAATAATATCATCATCGAGCGTGGCGCTGTGCCTGAGCGTGATGGGGGCGCTGCTGCAGACGGGCGTGGTGCCGGCCGCCGTCCCCGCGCTGCTCATCCTCCTCTACTGCTTCTGCTTCATGCTCGGCGCCGGCTCCGTGCCCTACGTCCTCATGTCTGAGTGCTTCATCCCTGATGTTAGTCGCATTCAAACTTGTCACGTAACTTAATGTCTTCTTCCAGATTACATTCAACAACTGTACTAAATTTCATCGAGATTCTTTGAGCCGTTCTCGAGATACCAACGTACTTACAAACATCCATCCATACATCTAGGCAATCGTATAATATTCATAAAGTTATTATAGTTGTTTCAGCTCTTTAAATAAATGATTTAATAACTAGGTACAAAGTCTAGCGTCGACTCTGCTGATGGAGTGGGTGTGGCTTCTCAACTTCTTCATCGTGGCCATCTTCCCCTTCCTCATCAAGTACTTCGGCATCCACGGCTCCTTCTACATCTTCGCGGTCTTCGCCACCATCAACACAATAGTCGGCATCTTCCTCCTGCCTGAAACTAAAGGTCTCACAAACGATCAGATTCAGGAAGCTCTCATGAGACGAAACAAATAAATCTGTTGCTTTTACATATTGTATATTCTTTTTAATTCATATTTTAGTTCCTAACATGTTTTCATATTGTAAATAAATTCATCGATCGAGCATTGATTTGAAGAAATAGATAGGTCATTGCTTTTAAATGACAGCTTCTAAATCGTTCCGACTTCAATGTGCTTGTGGAAGTTCCTGACAGTTATTTCTGTCTCTATTATTAGATCGTTTACACACCGCTACCAACAGCTACCGTCAGTGTCAAAATGATGAAAATCAAACAGGCACAAAGTACCTCTGCTTATAGCCTGTCCATGTGTAGATGTCAATATGATACTTCCTTTAATATCTTTGTAATCTCACGTCTATGAAATAAGTTTTTTTTTTTCAGTCTGTCCAATTATATTGTTAGATAAATGTTAAATATTGTTATTGTATTTAGCTATGTAAGTGTTAAGTTGTCAAATAAGGTTGTACAAAATGGTAAATAAAAAAAAATAAGTACATCGATTTTAAGTTTAATTTTATCCCACTAAACAGTTTTTTTTTCGGCAGGTTTTCATGCCTATAAATGCTTTTTTATTTACATTTCGCTTTGACCGCCTTGTGAACAAACGAACCGATTTTGACGAGTAGAGTCATTTAATTTACAGTCTATACCTAAGTGTTAGAGCCCATTTAGACAGAGAGAATTTCTTGCCTCGAAGATGCGATTATCGTAAGAATATAAAAATGTTTCTTTGTCTGAACATTCACACTTCTACTTTATCGACGACGGTGGGGAAGATCTCTCTGTCTTTATGGGCCTTTAGGGTTACTATCAGTCGGGCTTTTCATTTTTCTATTAACATTTTATCTACAAATTGTTTGTTTCATGTGTTGCTGTTAAATCAAATAGTTTAAACATGAGGTCTTATTAACTTTGCTATATTAGTTAACCAGTCAACAAAATAACAGTCGGCAAGTTACCAAAGCCACGGATCCAGTGATCTGCAAAGCGTCTAAACTATTCGAGCGTTAGTTCAACTAAAGCTCGATAACCGCCTTACAACTTGGGTTAAACTGATTCAATTTAACTTAGTTGTGTTGAACAAAATTCCAGTGTGTAACTAAATTAATACGAGTTTGTATACTTTGGATGAAATTACATGTTTACTGAAGAACATTTCACATACAGAAGCTAAAACAGGAAACATTTTGACGGGAATTTCGATGAATTTCGTATCGTTTTATCGACGAAGTATGACATTTGTGCAGCGCCTCTATCTGTTATAAATATAACTAAGAACTTCTTTATGTGACGACAAATTCGACGTTTACATATTTGAAACAATGATGATTTTTTTTTATTAAAATAAGATATATATAGATCAGCTTATCTACAATTTGCTTTGACACAAAGAAATGATTAAATTTAATTTGTTCATTTCATTTCAGGCACCGGATATTCTGTTAGACTCCACCCTTTCCTTGTAAACGCATCTCTCACTCGAACAAAGGACGTTGAAACGTATATATGTAATACGTAAGTGAGTAAAATACATATGGAAGAGTATTTTCACGTAACAACAATTTAAGTTAAATTTCGTTCACAAAAATTCAAGAAACAAAGTAACAAATATAAGGAAAAAAGCGATGTTTTGGAATAAATCATATATTATCTATCTACATTGTTAAAAAAATTTGAGGTTGTGATTAAAAAAATATTCCGTGAATATATTTGTGTTACTAATAACGAATTATTGTCTGTGCGTCTGTCTATCCGCAAGTTCGCATTTGTACCTAAACTCCGAAACAGGTCCTCCGATTTAGACAGGACTTTTAATGGAAATTAATATATGTAAGTGGGAGTAACATAGGTCATTTTTTAAGCTGAGGAAGTCGCGAGCAATAGCTAGTCAAGAAATAAATTACAAATCTAAAAAGCAGGTCATAGTAAAGTTTCTAAAACAAATATAATACAAAACAAAACAATACTGCATGTAATAAAATTCAAACGGTTACTGGAACATATATGTCAGATCGAAACCTCACACAAATAGAGCTACGAAGGACACAAGTATGGAGAAGTCATAATTTCGCCATAGACAAGTTTAACATATAGATTTATCATAAAAATTATGCAGGATCACATAGAATAGGAAAGAAAAACAGAATCTGCGCGGACCTTTATGACTTACTTTTGTTTAGTGCAAAATTACGTATCCGAACTCTTTGGTGGACATAGATTGCACTAGGTGGCATAATGGCCACTGAGAACTTTTGCCTTTAAGAAAAAGATAGAGAAAAGAATCACGTCGTGAATAGAGTTAGTAGGAATTGTTAATGTTTTAAAAGTATATTAACAATGTAATAAAAGCATTTTGGCTGAGGATTTACAATTTATAATATTTACTTGTAGTTGGTATGTGCCACCTCTAGCACAAGCACTCTTCATAGCTCTATGGTCAGAAAGCTCGATTGTATGTTTTAGCTTACCTCGCCTGCACTTGTAAAGGGGTAAGTAGGCGAATGAATAACAACTGCAATGCTTTTGTTTGTAAGTAAACCGTGTTTACAGCTTTGCTTAAAATAACAGTCGCCATTAAATAGATGCTGTATTAAGTATATGTGATTTTTATGTAAGACAGAGTTTTAACGATCGCGTTATAGTTTTATTATATCATAAGGTGGCAAACGAGCGAGAGGTCAACTGTATTCGCTGAAATAGCGATGCGACTGCTGCCTATAAACATCCGCAATTGCAGATACATTGCCTAATCAACTGAGGAGGGGATGCACAGAAAGAGAATATTTCCACTTCTATTTATCCCTTCCTCCATCAAATCCTATTCCCTTTCCCATCCTTTCCTTATAAGAAAAGAGTGGAAAGAGTGGTAAGATTAGGCCTCCTGTACGTGTCACTAGACGCCTGTCTTCTGTGTGGTCATGGTAATGCACGAGGCGAGCCCATTGCTTATGCAACAGAGTTATCAGCATTTATCATTTTCTAATATAAAAAAGAAATATCTGAAAGACTGAAAGTATACAAATAGTTAAAGATTTAAACTCTAGTTAATTAGTGATGAACAAAATATATCGATAAAAATATTAACTAAAGTTTTCTATCGACAATAAGTAACAACACTATTTGAGAAGAAAAAATAAAACAACCTCGTATATCAGCGAGGACTCTTATTATGTATGTGAATGGAATATAAAGACTTGAAATGTGACGTCATTAACCTAGGTAAAAGTGAGATAGTGCTAACTTTCTTAAAAGAGTACGTGACACAAAGCTAGACTAGATTTCGATCTTTGTCTTGTTGTTACTATCTCGGGTTTCCACTGATAGGACGACAGTGGGTTTAGTAGAATCGTCATCAATTTTGTGGAAACTGATATGAGATTATTGGTGTACTTTATGCCCGATAGAGGCGCTGCATATTTATACAAATTTTTTTGATGACCATGATGGCGCTTGTCACAATTGTTCGTGCTAAGAAATTGACTTTTATTAATGGACCGGTTATAAGACGTATTATTTTATGCCTATTTGATTTTCGCCATTTTGTAGCTGATGGCAGCGGTTTGTAGGGGTTGTGTGGATTTGAACAAATATTGTAGATAGAATTAACAACACGTAACATCAACAGGCGCATAAATCGGAACGAAACAAAAGCATTTCTAAGCAATCACCTATCCAAGTACAGATATAATGGACAGAGACAGGTTGTTTCGGCAATTAAAATTGACGGAAAGAATAACAATAGTTGAAGATATGACTATTTTATTTGTATAACAAAACACTTTTAGACAGTATTAGTTAGAATCATCTGGCGGGAATGTCATGCTTTTGTTACAAAGTCCAGTGTCAGAATAGTGAGGGGTCACAAACGTCGACATTTTAGTAAGGCTAGTGTTGAGTTATACACTGGCTCATTTTCGGATTTTCTTCCTAACAATACAGTGTAAAATATATCATCAAACAAACTAACAAATTATATTTAAACTTTGAAAGTTGACAGGCGTTTAAATTAGATTAAAAAAAAAAACAACTATAAATAGAAAGTCAGACATTACAGGTTGACATATTGTTACTTTTAGTCTACTTTTTTTTTGAATACTTTGTCACAATGAAGACTAATAAGTTAAATAAAAATATAGATAAGTAACAGTTGCCCGCGACTTTGTCCGCGTGGTATAAACAAAAGAAAAACAGGTAGGGTAGTGTAGCTTCACAACAGTATTTTTTAAATTGATTCAAGATTTTTTGAGCCTATTTAATGTAAACAATCAAATCTTTCCTCTATATAATATGTCTAGATACAAAAATATCTCAAGTATTTTTTAAATTATCAATCGATTTATTTATTTATTTTTTGTATAAAAACTTTATAATTTTTTTTCTTGTATTACCAAATTATTTGAAATTGAGCGATTGCTAGTTAGTTATAATGCCCTAGTATTTGTATGACGAGACACTATTTATGTTCTTCCCAGTTTATGTGAAGGTTAAACAGACGTAGTTGGTTTATAAATTGACGATATAACAAGGATTTTTCACGACGCTTTTACTATCTTTTAACTATGCTATTTTACTATCTCTTTGATGAAGTTTTTTAAAATGGTCAATTTAAAACATTCATAAAACGGAATCGATTGTTTGCTATGAAGTTCCGTATTTTGAATCATACTTTTAAGTAAATAAAGTTTAATTTTCATTGCTCTAATATTCTATAAAAATATAGAAGAAAAATGAGTTATATGAGGATATTTACTTTTAAATTGAAATGATTACTAGATTTTTAATAGAGTTTTTTTGTTATAACTTTTTAATTTCCTGCAGTTCTGTATGTAGCTATATCCTAACGTACTCAACAACAACATAGCTAACGCCCGTAACTGACAGGGGTAGTCAGAAACCACTGACAAACTGAAATTAATATGATTTCCAAATAGTACGATACCGAGTGTGAACTAGGTATATTAAATTAAGTTTTTTCTGTCCTAAATCCAATCTTTGTCCATATTGTCGAATCTTAAGTAATAACTTTAAAGTTAACTATGTTACACTTTTAATAAAGTTCTAAATAAAATGAGCGAAAGTAAATTTTTCTACAACAGGGAAAACTGCACGTCTGGGATTTATTCGCAACGGATTTAAACTTGCTAATAAACTTTCACTTAGCGTAATCACGACTTACATTAAGTTAGCACCGCCAACAGGATAGGCAGAATTAAGTATTCGTATCAACACTAGGAAACAAATGTAATAACACAACTCCATTAATTATAGATGTAGAGTTTTTTATTACTTGGTTCCAGGGAAAATTAGGTCGTCGTCAGATGATTATACGTCCCCACTGAGTGGCTCGGAGCCTACCCTAAGTTAGGGGTGACTAGGCCGTAGTCAACCACGCTGGTCCAGTGCGAGAGGACTACACACATATCTTTGAATTTCTTCACGATCATCATCATCACAATGTTTTCCTACATCGTAAGAACGTTGGATATAT